GAAATGGTCAAATGGACAATCTTTGAGGAATGGAAGACTAAGACACAAATACTTTATATCCTCTTTAAAATGTCATATTGGCACTTTACACCTTTCTAGAAAATAATTTAAGGAACAATATGAGGTAGATTTACAATTCAATATAAAAAACATGCTCTTACATATACTAGGTAATTTGCACAGGTTTGAGGAAATTTGATGTGTCCAGGGTAGCTCAAAATCATCGTTATTTACTTGATAAATAATAACTGAATTTGATGCACAAAATAGGTTTAGGGATACAGAAGAATATGTCTAAATGTGACTTATAAATATCCAGCATACTGCTTGCAGTAATTTTGTACATTATCAATTGTAAGCATTTTATATAATAAAAGCTATTTATCTCTTAGCTTATAAAAACTCTACTTCAAAATTACATATTTTTAAAATTTTTTCCTATACTCAAGATAGATATTTATTGGTCTACCCAAATATATTTTTCTGTAATCAGGCTATTACATTTGATTTCATAGAGCAAATGTTTATTGTGTATCTGGCTTCTGCCTTAAATAATGCTAGACACTGGGGATAGAGTTTTGACCAAAACAGAAATGACCTCTGACATAATGAAATATAGAACCAGTTCAGATAAACTATAGAGAATTTAAGGAAAAAAATAACTTTCATTTTTACTTTGATTTGGTCAGAATTTAACATTAAAAGTTACAACAGAAGTTAATTGATCAATGTTGGTGGCAAATTCCATGTTACTTTTGTGTTTTAAGTTTGATTTAACAAATATGTGTTGATTAGCTATTGCTTCAGGTTTGATATAGATACAGAATTGAAAAATATTCCTTGCCTTCATAGAGTTTAGTCTAGCATTTCAGTTATAAATTGTGTGCTATATGTGTTAAATTCAATGTATGGGAGAGTAGTGTGGATTATAATTTACTTACTCTACATACAAAAAGATTCATATTTTTTACTTGACTTGCATGCATTAATCTAGTAGGAAATGTTTGATACACAAACCTGTTTAAGTGTTTGGCAGAATTTTTAAAAAATTAAATATTTTTTGCATAGAATATCATATTTCATATATCTTATCATACTTAATTGTGACATTTATTAAAAAGAGTTCTGTTTTGTGAACTTACTGGGAGTATTTTTATATAATATGATAAAAAATTCATAGCAGTTTTTTTCTACCAATTATTACAATGACCAAGATTCTATATGTGTTTCTTTGATATGTCTTCTCTGATATATTTCCTACAGTGGAAGTGAAATACAATAGACGGGATGACCCTGAGGTCATTTACTTATTCTTTAAGTCATTTCACTTTTCCAGGCTTTGTGCGTCTTTATGTGAATGTCAGTTACATTTGCGCTTGTTTTCTATATTACTTAGAATTAGAAATCCTCTTTTGTGTCATGGTTTAAAAATTTAATTATTAATCACTTAATTTCATTCTAATGGAAGGGAAGCTCTCTTGGCATAACACAGATCCAATAAGTCTTTAATAGAATTTATGACAACTCTGCTGTTCTTGTTTGTTGGGAAAGATAGATCTAAAGTATGACCAGACATTTTCCTGATATCTTCTTGGATAAATATCTTACCAAGCATTTATCTTTTTCTAATCCTTGTCTTTCTTTCTAATCTAAAAAGGCAGCCAAGCCATAATAGTCAAAAACATTAGGAAGCCCTTTTGTCCAGTAAATAATCTGCGTTTCTAACAACTTTCTTACAGGTCAACATATTTCCCTAGAATTTTCTTAGTTCAGAAATAAATCTAACTGAATATTTCACCAAAAAAGCATATTAAATTAAAGTTTAAAATTTTGTATAGGAGCACCTGGGTGGCTCAGGCCAAGCATCTGACTCCTGGTTTCTGCTTAGGTTGTGATCTCAGGATCCTGAGATTGAGCCGCATGTAGCTCTGTGCTGGGCATGAAGCTCATTTAGGATTTTCTCTCCCTCTCTCTCTGCCTTCCCTCCCACCCCCTTACCCCATGTGCACTCTCTCAAAAAAAAATAAATAAATAAAGTATAAAGTTATAAAATCAATGTAAACTATACCAATGAATAAGTACAATATTAACATTTCCTCACCTGTATTTAGGTAACCAAATTGATCAAAAGAAAATGTAAGATAAAGTATATGTTAAAACTCTCCTATAAATGTCAATAAAATGCACATTTTCTGATTATAGTGTTTTGACATTCACCAACAGAATACAATCTAAGCCAAATATAAAGGAAAAGACTATTTTCAGGGAAAATAGACTCAAACATGAATAGACTAAATGTGCCTTATAAATCCATCATTAAATACTAGAAGTTGATAAATCTTCCTGACCAGAATTGCTAGCAGATGCTGGGTTTTGAATTTAGGGTGTTATCCAAACTGATCATGATTGTAGTCTTAATTTGAAATTTTAACATGTAAGATTATACTTGAATTATTACTGCCTCTTTTCTAAATCCTTTTCCAAGTATAAACCAAGCTTTTGAACAGAATATTTCTGAGAAACAAATGTCAACATTGGTAGCAGATTAATATTGTTGAAGGGATTTGATGAGATTATTATTCAGTATAATATAATCTGATTCCATTTAAATATTTTTAGATAGGAAGTTAGAGATGGATACTGTGTTCCTTCAATATGAACTATTTGAATTATAATGTGAATCCTGAAAAATACACTCTTTCTACAATATTTGAGCTATTATGTTTTCTCCTCACATTTTTTAAAGTAGAACTTTTCCAAATGTAGACTGAAAAATAACCTTCATTTCCTGGATAGCAGTCAAAATCTCCTTTCTTGCCACCTAATGAAGAATTATTTCTAGAGCAGAAGAGCATCACCTAATGTCTCCTGAGAAAGCTATTAGTATGAGATCGTCACATTTCATAGATAGAAACTTTAATGCCAAGCATTAATGTAGATATCCTTTCTCACAGTCTTTCTTACGTCTTATATCTCCCTCTGCTTTGATGAAGATTGGATGGTTAGGTCATGAAAAATAATGAACTGGGTTTTAGAAGTAGAAAGATGATCTAATTTATTTTTGTTTCTTTTTTTTTCCTCACCTGAAAAAAATGGAACCAATAGTCAGTGAAAGGATTGATGATGAGAACAGGAGTGATTTTAAATGTGGAAAGCCCTGCAATGTCAAAATTTATCTGGTGCATTTTATACATACAACGCAATAAGGCAATTGAGATGTGCCGCCCTATCTTACTTCCACAAATACTCCTCTTATGGTGTCACATGTTCCTTTCATTCTTTTGTCTCCCTCCTTGGTTTAAGGTGACTCTTAAAAGTTTAGCTAGGGATAAGGCCACCATGGGAAATAGAGTAGTTGCCTTCCCATTATTCATGTTCCTCTTCTTTCTCACTAACAGTCCTGCTTGTTTAAGTTTTGTTCAAGCAGCAGTAAGTCCACCCAGCCTCTCTTGTAGTAGGAATGCTCATGGGACACCATTCTGGCCAATAAAATGCCTACATAATCCTTGGGGAGAACATCTCTTCCCAAATAGAAAGTCAGAGCCTCAGTAGGAGGATGTCTCTTGCTTGCTCTTCTGTTTTCATCTTGCCTTGAATTCAGACAGACACTTTTAGATACATCAACCTTCTTGTGCCTGTAACAAATAAAACCAACACACAAATCAGATGTGGGTCCTGTGGACACCACTACCTCCTATAGGTTTCTTATGTGAGAAAAATCATCCTCTAGCTATATAAATTATTGTTAACTGTTTTTGTTACTTGTAACAGTGTATTATGGACTGAAATATAATTTCTCTTAAGTTGTTTTTATATTGGATAGAAGGGGAAAATGTGGTAGATATTGAGCAGGAAGATGCTATGTGTATTTCTAACCAATTTCTTCAAGTAGTAAGAATAGTATTTTCCAAAAAAAAAAATAGTACTTTCGGAAGGAATATCTTTTTTTTTTTTTCTGGATAACTTAAAACAATCTGCAAGAGAATTACATATACTATCAGCTACTGTTCAGGGGGAACAAGTTAGCTGATCAAGGCCAGTGTGAAATAGAGAATCAAGTAAAAATTGGCTTTAGTGCATTTTATCCCATGGTCCTGCCATTGTTCCAATGAACCATAGGGTTTTATTATGTCTTTGTGTTGTTCTTAAAGAATAATTGGCAATTCTATTGATTCCATTCGAGAGGATCAAAGATCAAAGAACATTTCTTCATAATTGAAACATTAATTTTAGCTTTCATTTTGTTTTCATTGCTTCCTACTGACTCCAGTTGATGTCACATGGACTAATAATTTTTTTAAGAGAGATAAACAAGTTAAATGACCAATAAGAGGGAACTGGTTAAATAAATACTATTTAATTTATACTCTAGCATATTGTAGTTTCATTAGAAATAATGTAGAATAACATTTAATTATCATTAAATACTCACCACTTAATATTAAAACTAGCAGGTTATGAAATATTATATTCAATGTTATCCCAATTTCAGAAGAAAGCAAAAAGGAAAGATACTGAAAACATCTATACCAAAATGTGAAGAGTGTCTCTCTGGGTATTTATATTATGAGTGGTTGTATTTCTTTATATTTTTCAATCTTTCCCAATTTCTGCAGTCAATTTATATGACTCAGTAAGTGATATTTTAAAAGATGTCTTGGCTATTAACAATGTAACTCTGATTTAACATTAAAATAGTTTAAGACTATAACCATGAGAGACTATGGACTCTGAGAAACAAACTGAGGGTTCTAGAGGGGAGGGGGTGGGGGGATGGGTTAGCCTGGTGATGGGTATTAAAGAGGGCATGTACTGAATGGAGCACTGGGTGTTATAAGCAAACAATGAATCATGGAACACTACATCAAAAACTAATGATGTAATGTATGGTGATTAACATAATAAAATAAAATAAGTTTAAGAATAAATCATTTTTATTGACTACTTTTTCATCAACAAAAAGTTTGACAAGAAATCTCTGTTTGTTTGTTTTAATACAGAAATCCTTAATGGTGGAGTGTATGTAGACCAGAACAAATTTCTTTGTTACACAGACACAATTCACTGGCAAGATATTGTTCGGAATCCATGGCCTTCCAACTTGACTCTGGTATCAACAAATGGTAGCTCAGGATGTGAGTAACATTATCTTTTTTAATGTCTCAAAATGTTCTTTTGCTTCTTGTGAAAACAAACAGCTTAAGTTTATCATGCCATTAACAATATTTTGAATTTTGATTGCATCCATTGAAATGTTCAGTTATATATAACAGAACAATCTTTTGTGTCTAATTAACTCTCCTTTTGGAATGATAACTTCCCTTTTATAAATTCTCATTTTCTTAACATGACTTCTTTTGATAAATCTAAATATCTTACTATATTTCTAATGTCTAACTTTCCAATGTCTAAATGTTTAAACATGTGCCGCATTGTCCATAAACTTAAGGCTGGTGTCTGACTACTGCTTCAATTCTTTGTGACCTATGTACCACTGAGGAAAAATGTGGTAGGACAAAAATAAACCTTCCTATTCACTATAATATTTTAAATAAAAAAAAAAAAACTGATGAACATTTTAAAATCCCTAAGCCTCCATTTGCCCCTGAAACCTTCATGGTGATACTTTATGACAATCCCAAACACTATAAATAGAATAGAGAATTACAGATTTCATAGAAGAGATATATGTTACATTCTGGTTTTAGTCATTAGTCTAATAACTACCCAATTTCTCATTCTTTAAGTGTATTGTTTCTATCACAGAGGATTTATCAGATTCAGAGTATTTAATATGATTAAATTATAAGCAAGCAATATTTGAACTATATCATTAAAATCTTAGCAAATTATTCTGCCCAGAACCTATTTCATTTTCATAAAGCAGACTATGTGGTTCCCACATTTATTACTACTGACATTTGTATGAGAACAGAATCCTTATCAAGTGTTGACCTGGGTTTTATATTTCTCGTCCACTACTATATATTTCCCTCCTGAAATTATAACTATCTTCACATAGTTCAGTAATTATTTGCAATAGTACTGATTGTGTTATGACATTTTTGTAGGAAATCAAACTCCAAGGGACAATATTAAATTTCATGATGGTCCTAATAATATAATGGGGAAATATGAATATATTTGTTCCAAACTGACAGCTGTGTTTTTAATAAATGGCTAAATTTTTTTAAAGTAGAGTAACACAATTTTCTTGTCACCTTTGAGCAGAAATTTGTATGAGATTTTGTCTTTACAGCATTCAAGTTGCCTACCTTGTAAAATTACACGTGAATAAAAAATCGAATCTGTTCACACTAACAAGACAAATGATGTACTTCAGAAATGGCTTCCATTTTCAGTCTGCCCATACTATGGTACATTTTATATTTGGTGGGGGGTAATTACAATGGTTGCATAAGAGGAAAGACCTACTGACTTAGCTTATTAGAATGACCAGCCTATAATGCATGAATGAGATCAGGCAAGAATGAAGCCCAAGACGGAAGCCAAAGGGAAGCCTTACAGGATGTGCAACAGGAAAGGTCTGAGGCAGTTGCTGCACTTTCACAGATGGCATCTCTTTGTCCTATTATTTGTGGGCAATTTTGGATGGTTGTGCCTATAATTAGGCAACTGTAGCTGCATTTGTTTTGCATGCAAATAATTGCAGGTGCAAAAATTATAAATGCAGAGTAGAGTCATAACAATTGGTCCTTTACAAATTAACCACCAATTGCTTATTGAAGTTTTATTCTTTACATACTAGTTCTATTTGCTGACACATTAAATATACTGCATGACACCATAGCTGAAAATAATGAATTGGCTGGTCTTTGAATATTGGTTTCACCCTGATTGAATTTTTTCCTCTACCTTCCCCCCATGGATGACAGGTATTCTCACAGTTTTAAATAGGTTCCATGCCCATCATGAAGCCTGATGCGGGGCTTGAACTCATGACCCTGAGATCATACCTGAGCTGAGATCAAGAATCAAACCCTTAACCAACTGAGCCACTCAGGCACCCCTTCTCTCATGGTTTTAAATGCTGCTTCTACACTGATGACTCCCAGAACTACAGTCACCCAGTCACCCAAGTTAAAAATCTGGTGGGCGTCATAGACTTCACCTTCTCCTTGGTTTGTGGCATTTATTTAATCATTAAATCATACTGAATTTGCCTTTTCTTGATTTTACATATTTCTTACTGCCATAGCCATAGTTCAAGGCTTCATCCATTGTCTGAGTTACTGAAATAATCTCTGAATTCTTAATAGTTTTTGAGGCCACAAACCCTGGCAGTCTGGTGAAACCAATAGCTTCCTTCTTATAAATAATGTAAAATTAATAAATAGGCACAAAGGGGCGCCTCGGTGGCTCAGTCGTTAAGCGTCTGCCTTCAGCTCAGGTCATGATCCCAGGGTCCTGGGATCGAGCCCCGCATCGGGCTCCCCGCCCTGCGGGAAGCCTGCTTCTCCCTCTCCCACTCTCCCTGCTTGTGTTCCCTCTCTTGCTGTCTCTGTCAAATAAATACATAAAATATTTAAAAATAAATAAAAAAAAATAAGTAGGCACAAAATAAATATTTGATATCATAAATGCATAAAAATCAATCAGTTCATAAAATAAATTTTAAAGGATTACAAGGAAAATAAATTATACTGAAATACATTTATCAACATTCTTAAAAATAATGTGATATGGTAATATGCTTCATTAGGAGGTTAAATTAAAAAAAATTCTGATAGTAGGATTAACAGACAATGTAGTTTTGTAGCAGTGATAGGCCTAAATATTATTTTAAAAAGGACAGTCACTTTAATAAATGGTGTTGGGAAAATTACATTTTCACATGTACAAGATTGAACTTAGACTTTTACCTTACCCTATATGTAAGAAATTAATTCAAAATGAATTAAAGACCTAAACATAAAACCATAATCTATAAAATTCCTAGAAGAAAACATGGAGGAAAAGCTTCATGACATTGGATTTGGCAATAATTCTTGGAGCTGCCACCAAAATCAAAGACAGCAAAGGCAAAAAATAGAAAAATGGGGCTGCATCAAACTTAAAAACTTCTGTGCATCAAAGGACATGATCAAGAAAGTGAAAAGGCAACTTAGAGAATGGGAGAAAAATTTACAAAATTATATATCTCATAAGGGGTTAATATCCCGACTATATAAAGAACTTTTACAACTAAGCAACAACAAACAACCTAATTCAGAAATGGACGTGGACTTCAAATGGCATTTCTTGAAAGATGTTATACAAATGGCCAACAACCATATGAAAAGATGAAATCCAAATCCAAGCCGTGAGACATGACCTTACACCGTTAGAAGGACTATTATCAGAATAATAGAAAATGACAAATGTTGGTGAAGATTGAAGTATTTGAAACCTCTGTGCACTGTCGTGAGATTTTACTGTTGTAAAATAGCTATGGAAAATAGTATGGTGGTTCCTCAAAAATTAAAAATAGAACAACCATATTATCCACCAACTCCACTTCATGGTATATGTCCAAAAGAATTGAAAGCAGAGTCTCAAAGCATTATTTGCACACCTATATTTATGGTAGCATTATTTATAATAGCCAAGAAGGGGAAGCATCCCAAATGTTCACTGATGAAGGAATGCATGAACAAAATGTGGTATATATACAATGGTACATTATTCAGCCTTAAAAAAAGGAAGGAAATTATGATATGTTACAACATGGTTGACATTTGCTAAGTAAAGTAAGCCAGTCACAAAAAGACTGTATGTCTACTTATATGAGGTATCTAGAGTAGTCAAATTCATAGAAACCAAAAGAAGAATGGTGGTTACCAGAGCCTGAGAGAATTGGGAAATGAGGAATTTCTGTATAATGAGTATAAGAGTTTCAGTTTTGCAAGATGAAAAAGCTTTGTAGATCTATTCTACAACAATGTAAACATACTTAACACGACTAAGCTATATGCTTTTTTTTTTTAAAGATTTTATTTATTTATTTGACAGAGAGAGACAGCGAGAGAGGGAACACAAGCAGAGGGAGTGGGAGAGGGAGAAGCAGGCTTCCTGCTGAGCAGGGAGCCTGATGAGGGGCTTGATTCCAGGACCCTGGGACCATGACCTGAGCCGAAGGCAGACGCTTAATGACTGAGCCACCCTGGTGCCCCTAAACTATACGCTTAAAAATAGTTATGACAGGGGCACCTGAGTGGCTCAGTCAGTTAAGCATCCCACTCTTGGTTTTTGGCTCAATTCATGATCTCATGGGTCCTGGGATTGAGCCCCAAGTTGAATCTGCTTGAAGATTTTCTTCCTCTGCCCCTCTCCCCCCCTCAAATAAATAGGTAAATAAACCTTTTTAAAAAAGATTATGACAGTAGATTTTATGTTGTGTGTTTTTACTGCAAGAAGAATGAAAGAAAGAAAGAAAGAAAGAAAGAAAGAAAGAAAGAAAGAAAGAAAGAAAGAAAGAAAGAAAAAGAAAGAAAAGGAAGGAAAGAAAGAAGGAAGGGAGGGAGGGAAGGAAGGAAGGAAGGAAGAAAAAGTTTTATGATACCTGTAAGAACTGGAATGCAGTATGAATACATCTGTAGTTTCTATGCATCACAGTGTAGCTGGTGCACTTCATAATTGATGAAAATCCTATATTTAATAAGAGATTAATGTGAATAATAATGTAATGATTCCTCATTCAAGTTCAAGGACCTCCTACATTATATCCATAAGCCCTTTAGGGGCCCCAGGCCTCCTGGTTAAGAGCCCCCATGTTTAACTACTCTCCTTACCTCTGGTCCTGACAAATCCACCTGACAAAGTGCCACCAAGAACTCTGTTTAATGGATATCTAACCATGACCCTGTCTAAAAACCCTGTCACTGCCACTGACTAATGTGGGGTCAATTCTTAACAGAACCAAAGGCTTGGAGTTTTTAGCAGATTCCTGCTTATTTCTCACCTCAATGGAATGAGTTCTTATAATTTATTTGTCTGTACTGCTTTTCCTTTTCTGTTTGCCAGACTAAATTTTGTTCAGACTTTAAGACACTCATCAATTGTCTTCTCTTCTAAGAAGTGTTCTCTTCTATAGGCTAGATTAGGTAACTTTTCTCCCGTTACCCCATAAAGAGCA